CCGTTCAGAGGTGCGGTGACGTGACGAAGTGAAGAGGAAAGGACTGTACACTTGTGACAAATGATGGATGCCTGGATGTGCGTGCCTAGGCTAGCACAGTCTGCGCTGACCAGCCTGTATGTAAGGCATTACACATAAAAAGCGTGGCAGTTCTAGGGCTGCTACCCACCCTCTTCCTCCTCCGCCTCCTCCTCTTCCTCCCCTTCCTCCTCCTCCTCCTCCTCCTCCTCCTCCTCCTCCTCCTCCTCCTCCTACGCGTTTTCGGTTCCTCGGGGGGGGGACCCCGTCACCGTCTCAGTTCCTGGGGGGGGGTGCCCCCGCCGCTGTGGCCACCACTGTGATTCTTGTAGCCCCCCCTGTCAACTAGGACTTCGACTCGCAGCTGTAGTGCGCGTCTCTCCCGCCAGCAAACAGCAACGACGGGCGAGGAAGGTGGGACAAAAGGAGCTGGAAGACAGAGCCTGGTGCAGGCAGGAGGTGGAGTAAATGACTGGCACGCTGGTCAGAACACAGTAGCAGAGCTGGAAGCGAGGACATTGGCGAACATGTACGGCTGCAGCTGCTGTGACTCCACGACCTTCCTCCTCAGTCCATAAAGTCCCATCCCCAACACCACCACCACAGAAGACAGCAAGTCTGGCGATAGAGGCTTATGAGCGACAGTGTGTTCTCGTGGCGAGACGTAGATAACAAGTGTAGTGCTTTGTCGCCTCGTAGCGTCATGCTTGCTCGCTTGCCCCCGAAAGCGGGGCTGTGCCTTCCGGCGAGCGCGCGCCCAAGACCCCCTGGGAGGAGGCGCAACGCCCACCTCCCCGCTGCCGTGCACTGTTGCGGGCCAGGGGCTCGTGTGGAGCTGTGCCCCTTGAGCAGGGAGACGGCGGGATGGGAACGCCGCAGCGGCGCCAGCCCCCCCAGGCAGCCTGGGCCCAACCCGTGGACACGCTCTTGCACTCAAGGGCGAAATCGGCAACTGCCTCCGCATGCCACACCGCCAGGACCCACTGGCAGGTCTTGCCGCGCCTCCCTTGGAAGCGCCCTGGCGGCTCTAGCCCCAGGCGTGGGCGCGGAATCAGCCGCAGCGGCATGACCCGCAACCAACTACAAGAGTTGGCCGGTCGGCCTCCCAATGGCCACCTCCCAAGGAAGCAGCCAGCATGGCGACTGGCACACGGCGCCTGCCTGGTCCCCTATCCGCAACGGAGGGGCCCATGTGCACCTGCCGGGGTGACCCCGGAGGCGACGTTGAACACATTGCACGCCACGCGGCTGCCCAACTCCAAGATGCGGCGAGATCTCTCGGGCATCTCCCATTCAGCTTGCTGAATCAAAGCGCCATCGATGTAAATCTTGGCTGTGCGACTCTGTGCCCAACGCCCGTGCTCTGTAGTCTTCTCCAAGTTGCTGGAGGACATAAAAAACCACCTAGCGCCTCCCCGCCGAAGGCTGTACCCACGGACGTTTTGCCATGGAAGCCGCGCCTGCTGGCACAACTCTTGCAAACCCTTCTGAAACTGGACGGCGGTCCCGGAAAAGATCCTGTCGCCCTGGGCGCGCCCTCGGCGAGCCCGCAACACCGCCTGGATGACCAGCGGATCCGAGATGACCATCTTCTCTTCGGGCGCCTGATTTGGACTCCGGCAGTAGAAGTATTGCACGGGAGTCGCGCTGGTGCAGCAGAAGGTGCCGGAAACGAGCTCCTAGGATCTTTCCTGTGCGCAGAAGGCCCACAAACGCCAAAAGAACAGCAGCCGCGAGGTCGTCCCGGCCATTCGCCACCGCCAGGCCCGCCAGGCCCCGAACCGCCAAGGCTGGGAGCGGGAATGCCCTGCACCTTCGAATAGTCTTCCGCCAATTTGCAAGGTAGAAGTTGCAGGTGCACAGGTGGCGGCGGCTGGCCGGCACGAGGCGCTTCAGGGCCGACGCGAAATCTGCCGCCCAGCTCTCGGGCTCGCCCTCCTGCCACAAATGGTCCAAATAGGCGCCCGCAGCACGGTCGAGGGCGCAGAGTGTGCTAGGAAGATCTTGTTCAAATAGGTCCAAATCAACGACAAATGTCAGAATTCTAGCTCGATAACTTGATAAAGTCGCTGCCGCAACACTGGCCTCCTTTAGGCTGCTCATCCGTGAAGCACGGGTCCTCTTAGAGGCCCGCCTGGCAGTTCTCACTCCCATGGGCCCTGACGCTGCTCCGCCCTCCGACTGGCCTGGTCCGCAAAGTTCCAGCCAGAAATCGTCCACACAGCGAACGGATAGGCATCGGCCGCTAACAAATAGCCAGCAACCTCACTCAAGGGACCGTTCAAGCGGCGCGACGACGACCGCCCTTTGGATATCACGGCCGTAGCAACCATATTATCGAGCACATGCACGAAGCGCCTCGACACGCTCGAGACGTACTTCAAAGAAAACTTGACGTAGTTGACGAATGTAATAACTTCCAAGACATTGATGTGTCCAGCGCTACGCCAAGCGTAGCTGGACACCGGCTTCCACTGCCAACAAAATGCTGGATAGGGAGCGGTTTGGCGTGAGCTCCGGAGCACCTCCGAAGCCCACAGCCGGACACCTGAACCGCGATGGTCGGCCGCTCGCGCCGGATCGCGGAGGTGGCCCTCCTCGCCGCCGGCCTGCATGGCAGAGAGCCAACGCATGCCCTCATTCAACTGCGCGTCGCCGAGCCGGCCGGTGGCCTCCCGGAGCTGGGCGCTGAGCCACGAGGCCTGCTGCCCCGGCTCCTGCGGGCACGACGCTCCGCCGTGCGTCCGGCATGCAGCCGCCACGACGTCCGCGCAGATGTCCCACAGCTCGTCCTCGCACACCTCGCCCTGCTGCCCCAGGCGCTCGGCAACGCGACGGTGCAGCACAGGCGAGTTGTGCATCCAACGCCTCCCAGACGCCTCCGTGAGAAATGTTCCGGGCTGCTGCATCAGCCATCGCGCCCGGGGGAATCTCCAGAGCCAGCTGCAGGGTGGCTACGACACCACGGTGAAGCCTGGGCGCACCAGCTGCGCCTCCAAGGCCTGGATGGCGAGGCCGGCGAGCTCGTTCGTGGCCTGGAGGCAATGAATCTGAGGAACTCGACATCGCCCTGGATTGGTCGCGTGTGCTCATTCAAAGGAGTCAATATGGATATGAAGCGTAAAAATGAACGCGGCGCACCGTCGACCACCTTCTCCTTGTCATCGCCCATGGCTCCGCTGAAAATTGGGTGGCCGGCCCGCCCTCGGAAAAAAGCCGCCGGGACAGCTTCTCGGAGTAGCGCTCGGCGCAGGCCCTCCTTGACCAACTTATCCCATTCCTCTTGACTCCCGTGGACCTTGGACCGGGTAGGCCGGAGGGGCCATTCTTCCCGTGGTAGCAGGCACTTCCACGGATCTGACACCTGTGCAAGGAGCTCCCCCTCCAGGCAGGCTGCGAGGTCAACCACGCCGACCTCGCCCGCGTCTGGCCACGTCGGGAAGACCAAGTCCGCAACCAATTCGCGGCGGATGCCAGCGGCGCGGCCATCGTATTGGACACGCGCCAGGCCCGCTTCCTGGACGACCTGCTGCAGAGGGGGGGGCGGTTAACATCCTCGGACAAGAACCATTCCAGCCATTGGCTCAGCCGATCCATCGCTTTCTCCTGGACCGGCGACGCCTCGCGGGGAGGGTTCGTGAACCCTGGCTTCTCGCCCATGCGGCTGCCCAGGAAATTCAGCGCATGCCCGACGAGGCGGTACCAGGAGGCATGTTCCTCGGACCAGCGCCCTGGACGGGAAGGGTGGCAACCACCCCTCTGCGCAAAGACCGCCACGGGCAGCGGCAGCAGACTCCTCCGCCGCCTGCCCAGCTTGGCGCCGGAAGAGGAGGCCCTGACGAACTTCCCCAAGGGGGTCGGCAGGCGGCAGACGAAATCCTAGAGCATCTGGCCCAAGGCCGGGAGTGCCAGCTCCCCAACCGACCGCGTCCGCATGGCGCAGCGCCACTGCCGCAGGTCTTCGGCGGCCCCCACGCTGCTGGGCACGCCGGCCAGAGCGCCGGGGCAGGTGGCCTCGGCTAGCCCAACTGCGGGCCTCCCCTCTCGGGCCTGTCCCTGTTCTTGCCCTTGCCCTTGTCCTTGCCCTTGCCGGAGCCCTTGTCGTGGCTCGGCTGGTTCCAGGCCGGGCGCTGCCGGAGCCGTTGCTCGAGCTGCTGCTCCGTCGCTAGCATCCGGTCCTCGTCGCGGTCCATCAGCGTGATCGAGTCCGGCGCGATGAGTTCGCACCAGATGGCCCGATCCCAATGGCCGTCCACCAGCGCCCTCTCGAGAGCCTTCAGCCGCTGTGCCAGGAGGTCCGCGCACTCCCCGTACTTCCGCTTCGCGAGCAAGTCCAGGGCGCGACAGACCGTCCTCGCCTCGCGAGAGTACCGCGGACCCATGGACGGGTGCTTGGGGTTCAGGATGCTGTGGAGGTAACGCATCGCTGCCGGAACCGGGCCCTCTTCCAAGTCGTGGGCCGCCTCCCCACCCCCGACAAGACAACGCGTCCATCCTCCCAAGGAGGCGAACGGCCAAGTTGCCTGGGTTCTTGCGGGCGTACTCCAACAGGCGGTCGTGTCCGAGCCGCCTGCGGGAGGGGCGCTGTGAAAACCCGACTCGCTCTGGTCCCGGGCACCCCGGAGCGGCTCGGCGCCACCGAAAGGGCCGCGGTCGACGCGCCGGCGGCCGTAACGGCGGGAGCGGCGGGAGCGGCGGGAACGCCGGTTCCGCGAGCGGCTCCGGCTCCGCCGGCGCCTCGGGCTCGTCTCCCGGCCGCCAGGGTCCCCGCTGTGCGGGCTCGCCCTCTGCTGCTGGCGGTCGTCCGGCCGGTCGCGCTCGGCCCCTTGCTCCTGGGCTCGGCGGTCAGGCGCCGGCCTCGTGGGCAGGGGCAGCTCCGCCGGGGTGCCCTCGTCGCGTGAGCCCGCCGCGTGGCCGTCCGCCAGCGGGGCGAATAAGGCGTCGCGCGCCCGGCCAGACGAGCGGCGCGGCCCCTTGCGGACCGGCTGCGCCGGCGCTCCCAGCTGCGGTGGCGCTGCCGGGGCTGGCCGTGCCTCTCTGGCCCGTCGCGGCGCTCCTGGCTGCGCGGCCGCTCCCGGCACCAGCCCCTCTCCGGCCTGTCGCGCCGCTCGCGCCAGTCCCCGTCGCTGCCACGCCGGCCCGCGTCCCGGCCAGCCCGCTCGTCGGTGGCCCCGCGGACTGCTTCTCGGAGCTCCCGGAGGTTCTTCTGGAGGTCGTTTGGGCCGCCAGCGCCAGGCGGCTCGAATAGCTGCCCAGCCGCCGCCGGCGCTGGCTCGCCAGTGGGCCGCTTCTCCTCCTTCCCTGGAGCGCCCGCTGGCCCCGAGTGCCTCTCCAGGTGCTCCCAGAGGCGTTTCCCCCCTGGTCCTTGAGCCACTTTATGGCCTCTGCCGCCGAGTCCGCGCCCTCGAGCAACGGGAACCCGTCGACGTGGACCACGTCCTTCCCTTTGAACTTGCACCTGTCGCGCGAGGTGCTGCAAAAGTGGTACTCCCCCTTCTTGTCCTTCACCTCAATTTCCATCCACCACGCATAGAAAGCATCACTCGAACACACGAACTCCGCGGGGATAGCGTCCCCGACCTTCCCGGAGCCCAGCGTGTACACGATGCCCGTGCCCTGGTCGACGTAGGCGTCGTCGTACAAGGCGATCTCATAATACGACTGCCCATGGACAGCCTGGTCGCCCGCGAAATCGGGATCGCGGGCCGCCCAGATCCACGGGCCTGACATGGGCTACACTCCCGGCGCGGCAACCGCGGCCGGGCGCGAAGCTACCCGTTGCCACGGTCAGCAAGCTTGAACCCAAAAGGCTACGGCAGCCGCAGCCCCGCACCTGCTCACTAAGATCGGGGTCTGTCTACGCCTCCCCCCTCACGCATAGCAAGTCCGTTGATGTTAAACGAGTTCGTTGCTGTCGGTCGTCCACAGTGGGACTCGTCTGGGAGATTCGCTTCCTACCGACATGCCAAATGGCCGTGCGCATAAACTTCATATTGCTAGTTAAAGGGAGTGCTGCAAACTGGGGACATGTACCGACGTAGTACAGCTGAGAGTAGAGAGCCAAAGAATCGACAACCGAAATTGTGGGGCAGCTGCCGAGAACAGAGTGTGTTCGCGTGTAGTAGCCTTAGATCGGCCAGCTCCCCAATACCACCTCCCGCATCCACCCCGCATCCTCCCCCTCCCTGGTAGACTGGCAAGGTGGTCAGAGCATCGCACGCCTCCAGCTGTCCCCATCAGTATCACGCTGCTGGGCCGGCTCTGCCTGGCCGAGGGCAGTGGATCGTAGCAGGCCGGAGCTGTGCTAGGCTGCTAGGGCCAGGGAAGAGTAGGGAGGTAGGGGACGGGATGAGGTGCGCTAGTGCTGGCATGCGATGTTGGCCAGACTGAATGTGCGACGATGGCAGTGGATGGATGCCTAGAAGAGTGCGTGCAAGCTCAGATAATCGGATGGCAGACCAGGCTGGCAAGTAATGGCAGCTTAGAACACGGTGTGACATTCCGAAACTCGCATGCGACTCGCCAGCAAGCAGCAACGATGGGCGAGAAGAAGGGGGGAAGTAGGGGAGATAGCAAGCCGAAGGAGGCGACCGCCAAACTCTTATGCATCCGCGATTGGAAGTACGGGAGCTCACCGTTCACCAGCAAACAGCGAGGCACCACCCCTGGGGAGGAGAGGAGAGGCCCGCGGCCAATAAAAGGAGCGGGAAAAGGAGAGAGAAGAAGGAGGGACAAAACGACCGAGACGGCGGACGCAAGGACGAAGCAGGAGGAGCCGTCTGAGTTCGGCGAGCGGCACTTAAGTACTGCTGACAATCCCCACCACCTCCTAAACCATTGGCCCACCCTATAGGTAGCATATATAATAGCTCGGTGCAAAAGGCGACCAGGACTAAGCAAGAGAGGTTAGCAATCGGAAGTTCTCCCTGTGCGGTAATTGATGTCCTGTAAACCGTAGTTTTGGAAGATGTGAGGTCGTAGACATTCCCTAACCAGTTTGTACAATAAGTGATGCCCGCCGCGCTGCTTGTTGTACATATGTGGTAGATGTGTGGTTATAGGCTCTTGTGCCAAACCACAAGTCTTGTACAGTGTTTGTCGTGGTGAGGCTTCTCCGTGTGGGGATCTTGTGCTACCCCCAGTAGTCATTGCCGTCAGTCTGTACGGTGGGAGACCATAGTTTCGGTGTGGGTGACGCTTTGTGTTTAGGTATTGGGAACCTGGGCTTGGGCATGGTTGGTCGCTGTCGCAGGTCTGCATTGCGTAGATTGCGTTGTCGTACGTCTACCAACTGCTTTTGGTACTGCTGCTGGTGGTGGCGTAGTATCTCCATGTACTGCAAGAGCCTCTGATCGTTGCAGTCTTCGACGTAGTGATTTTCGAGGTGCTCTGTACGTGTTGGCATTGGGGTAGATACTGTTTGTCCATCCAGGGTGTGGATCGGTGGCGCTTTTGGTCGGAAAGCGATCTGCCTGGTGCAAATGTTTGTGGTGCTAGCTCGGATGCTGGTATCTCGGTGAGCCATCGTTGTGCCCGTGCTGCCTTGAGAGGTGGAAAGATGATTGGGATCCTGAGACTTGGTGGAGGTGGGTGGATTCGACTTCTCATCGCCCGAGTAGTGCTGGGCTGCTGACTGGCGCGGGTTTGTTTGCACCTGTCGGTTGTTAGTCAGGCGTTGTAGTGGCTTTTTGTTGCGTGTCCGCAGCTGATTGTTGTGCTGGCTGTGGTGTGCCCTTAGTGGGGATGTCGCCGTTGTAAGAACTTGCTGACGTTGTGGAGATGTTGTGGTGGTTGCTCGGTAAGTCGATTGGGTTGCACATATGTTGTAGCAAGCGTGCTGTGCCGTGTATGCGTACTGTCCAGTCGTACTTAACTGTCGTCGCCTTCGTGGCAAGAGCAAAACCATGCTAAGACCGTCAGTATGTTTTGCTGGACAATGTCGTGCATTCTTGTCGTGGGTGCTTGCTGTTCGGATCAAGGAGGTAATATGTATGTTGGTGATGTTGACTGCTACTCTGAAGTCCTCGTTGAGTGAGTAACACTCCTGCGAAGTCTTGTATGTCGTGTCCAAGCCGTAGACGTGGCTGGTCATCTAGTCGTGGTCGCCATGGTGGGAGGTGTGAGTCTGCCGGCACTGCGTTGTTAAGCGTTCAGTACTTGGTCGTGTAGGTAGGTGGTAGCTTGAATATTGAGAGAATCGATTCGCATGTGGGTCGGGCCTGAGCGGTAGATGAGGTAGGGCTTGATGATACCTGTAGTGGATGAGATACTCGCTGTTGTGATTGTCTAAGTATCTGTGCCAACCTGGTAACAACAGGTGATCGTTTGGACACCGGTAGGCGTGTGTGTTGTTGGCTGTGTTGCAGTAGACTGCGTAATGCCAGTTGTCCTCGTCGCTGTCGTCGTCTTCGGTCCTGTCCTGGGCGCTGTATGCTGTCCAGCCTGGCTGGCAGTACGTGTCGTGTCCCTTGTGTGGTGGTAGGGGCTGAAGAATGAGGGGCATGGGAGTATATTTGTATGTAGTCGGCACCGCTGTTGTCAGTGTAGCTGCCTTCGTCTTCTGAGCCATCTGTGGCCGTGGGTCGTACAGCGTCGATTCCTTCGTCTCCCCATGGGTTGGTAATGATGGACTGTTGTCGTGTCTGAGTTGGAGCTGCTGCAAGTGTTGGCATCTTGGGTTTGGGCGGTGGCGTAGGTGCGTGGGCAGGTGGTGCTGGTGGCCGATCTTGCTGGTGTTCTCGACTGGTTTTAAGTTCAAGCTGAGGTTTGAACTTGTGTTGTGCTGTTGGCTGTGTGTGGCCTGAGCAGTACTCGCGGAGCCTGTCTTCATGGTCGTCTTCTATGTTCTCCGATCGCTCTCTTTGCTCGAGCTGTTGCTGTATCCAGTCGTAGTGTAGGTGGGGTATGTCGATGCGGATGATTACCCCTCTTATCTTTTAGATCGGCCTGAGATCGATGGTCGTGCCTCGTGTGTGTGTGTGTGTGTGTGTGGAATGTGCGTCTTAGGTATGGCCGGAGTCGGTCCGCTGATCTTGAACACGGGTCGCATGTGACGGCGTGGGTGCACATTGATTACAGGTATGGGCGTGGGCCAACCGATGGTTGGTGGCCAGGCAGGATTGCCAGGAGTTGGCGATAAGAGCTCGTAGTGTGTCGGTGGAAGTTGTGGCTGTCGTAGTGCTAGTGGTGGTGGATTTCTCACGGTACCTGTCCATCTATTGATCATGTCCGCGATGTGGTCGTCTACCTTTTGTAACTCGACGTGATTGGGTTGCTCATGCGTCGTCGGTGGTGTAATATTTCCTCCTCCTCCTCCTTCTTTTCCTTTCTCTCGCCCTCCTCTTCCTCCTCCTCTTCTGACGATCGGATAGCATGGCGGCACTGGAATGCGTACCGTACATTCCTCCATCCCTCCTCCTCCTCGCAGGCGCCAGCAGAGGGCGTTCCGCGTGAGAGTGGGGCTGGCCGCGCTCCCCCCTCATCCAGCCAGCCAGCCCCCCCCCTGTTGAATCCTGCCTTAGCGGTGAACTCCTGGCCATCAGCCAGACTGATTCGGCTTGATGGCAACGTGTTCGTGCCCACACATCCTCGATCATTCCCGCGAAAACTACGCACCACAAGCCTCAAACCATCCATCTCCCTCTCCCTGTCCCCCTCCACCTCCTCCTCCTTCTCCTCCTCCTCCTCCTCCTCCTCCCCTCCTCCCTGTCCTTTCCCAGGACGGGCTTCTTTTCCCCCCTGAGCTGTTCCCAAACATCCTGTGGTGTTGGGTCCTCATTCGGCGACCCGCGTTCTCCTCCTTCCGCCTCTCTCCTCCCCCATCTCCCTCCTCCCGCATCATCATCATAATCACCATCATCATCATCATCATCATCATCATCATCATCATCATCATCATCATCATCATCATCATCATCATCATCATCATCATCATCATCATCATCATCATCATCATCATCATCATCATCATCATCATCATCAACATCATCATCATCATCATCATCATCATCATCATCATCATCATCCTCGTCGTCGTCGTCGTCGTCGTCGTCGTCGTCGTCTAGGGAGGCAGCAGCAGCAGCAGCAGCAGCAGCAGCAGCAGTAGCATCATCATCAGCATCACCACCATCACACCCAGTACAGCGTTTCGTGTCCCCATAAGGAGCTCCATCCAAGGCCCCAGTGGGGGTGGCCACATGCGTCCGCCACACCCAGTACAGCGTTTCGTGGCCCCATAGGGAGCTCCACGTAAGGCCCCAGTGGGGGTGGCCACATGCGTCCGCCACACCCAGTAGAGCGTTTCGTGTCCCCATAGGAAGCTCCATCCAAGGCCCCAGTGGGGATGGCCACATGCGTCGCCCCCACCCGGTACAGCGTTTCGTGGCCCCATAGGGAACTCCATCCAAGGCCCCAGTGGGGGCGGCCACATGCGTCCGTCACACCCAGTGCAGCGTTTCGTGTCCCCATAGGGAGCTCCACGTAAGGCCCCAGTGGGGGTGGCCACACGCGTCCGCCACACGCAGTACAGCGTTTCGTGGCCCCATATGGAGCTCCACGTGAGGTAAGGCCCAGTGGGGGTGGCCACATACGTTCGCCACACCCAGTAGAGCGTTTCGTGTCCCCATAGGGAGCTCCACCTGCGGCCCCAGTGGGGATGGCCACATGCGTCCGCCACACCCAGTACAGCGTTCCGTGGCCCCATAGGGAGCTCCACAGAAAGACCTCAGTGG